ATCATATTTTAATCAAGGTATGGTGTGTATAGTTTCACTTGTAAGGAAATAGATAAGACAGGGAAAAAAAACACATACATGTCAGTATTACCTCTCTCCAAAGATTTTTCATGTATCAAGCCAGATATTGCAAAATTATTTTACTCCTTGGATTACATATTGCTAGACTGAGTACTTTTATTATTATACAGCAAGATCAGTGGTGAGGAAGTCAATTGCTTCAGCAAAATATATGTACGTCTGCATATGTTTGTGGAATAAAATGTTTGTTTATGGGGCTATTTGGGGTGCTACTGATTTAAACAATCGCATTGAATAGACCACATGTGAGTGAGGGGGAAATAAGAAAATTTTCAACGATGCCACAAATCTGCAATTCTGACCAGAAAGCTGGAATATAGTATGACCTTTGTATCTGTAGGGATATGTTCCAAGACCCCTTGTGGATACCTATAATAGGTAAAGGTAAAGGTTTTCCCCTAACATGAAGTCCAGTCATGTCCGACTCTGGGGTGTGGTGCTCATCTCCATTTCTAAGCCAAAGAGCCGGCGTTGTCCGCAGACACCTCCAAGGTCATGTGGCCGGCATGACTGCATGAAGCGCCGTTACTTTCCAACCGGAGCGGTACCTATTGATGTACTCACATTTTGACAAACCTCCACTTACTAAATTTGGTCAAAAAAATCTTAGGATAGATTTCTCATACGTCAGAGTTGATTTCAAGGCACACAATATTAATAACAAGCCACAGGAGTCACATTTCTCTCAGACTAGGACTGCATCTGCATAGTTGAATTAATACAGTTTGACACCACTTTAACTACCATGGCTCAATACTAGGGACTCCTAGGAGTTTGTAAGTTGATAAGGCACCAGTACTCTTTGACAGAGAATGCTGAAGGCCTTGTAAAACTTCAGCTTTCCTGATTCTATAGCATTGAGCCATGACAGTTGAACTGTATTAATTCACCTTGTACTGCTCTAGGGTGCAGATGCACCCTAGATCAGTACAAGATGAACTATTTCCCACACAGTGTTGGAGGGGGGAATAACTAAGTTAATTCTAAGTGAATCTTATGTGAATCTGGGGTGAATCAGGGTGGCTGCCCACAACTACAAAGAAGTATTTATCTAAACAGTTTGTTTGGGGCCTGTAAATATGCCCTACTGCACACTTTTGGAATTCATGAAGGGTCTTGGTAAAGAGAAAAAGAGAGGTTCCATTTGAGATATAAAGGACAGAGAAGACTGAAAGCCCAGAGGCAGAGATGAAAGAAGGAAAAAAGTTCGACCTGTGCAAAATGGAAGGAATAAGAAAGTGCATAAGGAAGAAAAAAACATTGTGAAGGTAGCACTCTCGCAGTAGCACTCTGGAAGAGAAAAAATAATACAAAATCCATTAAAAGGATTCTCTAACTTAGGAGAAATATTTCAAAAAGACAGTTTGGTTTATTTCAACAATGGTATGCTCTAAAGGGCATGGCCATACCACCATGGTTCAGTTCTTATGTCCTGTTGCTTAGTGATACAGCTTTTTTCAGTCCCGCACAAGCGAGTTGAACTAAAAATCTAAACATTTTTGCTCACTTCATAAAAGTAGAAAGGTGGAAAGTATTACAATTGAGTTGGCCAGAGTAGTACATTGCTTGTCATCAGAAACCAATATTACAGTCTGACAATATTTGGAAAGGGTTATTGCATATCAAATTACTCACTCACTCATGTAACTGCTGAAACAATATTGCTCTCTTCTGGAGCGAGTCAGGAAGTAATAATAGAAACAGTTGCATTTTATATTACTTTTATTTCCATTTAACAGCACCAGCTTGGAGACACATCTAACTCTCCCAGGAGCCCAAACTTAGCATTTACATGAGTTCCACAGCAAAGTAGAGGCCTTCCCTTCAAAAGCGCCGAAAAATGAAAGCAACCACTGAAGTCACAGTAAAGGAGTAAAATTTTTATTATAGCTTTTTATTGTAACTTCTCACATTCTGTCCAAAGCAACACAAAGTGAGATGTGTAGATACGTTTGCCTGCCCACCTTTAGTTGCCAGCCACCTTTTCAGATTTAGTTTCTTTCACACAAGTAGATTTGTAAAATAAACATCCCCTCAGGAGTTATATACAGCCATCCCTACAAATCCAGAGCATGGTCTGGAGGTGTACAGGATGATCAGCTTGTTAAAGCTAACAGACCTGCAACTGCTCAGTGCCTGAAAGTGAGACTGCCTCTAAAGCTATTGATGCCACCTTGAATTCCACAGAAATGTAATAAATATAATTGCACACAAGTGTGTCTATATATCTACTGGTAAGCTGTAGGTGCTGATAAAGTCCAGTTCCAATGGCTATCTCAGTAAACAGGATCCTGGAGCAGAGGATATAACAAGCTGACCACCAGAAAGACCTACAGGTCCAGAGGGACAGCTAATGACTTCCCTCAGTACTAAGTTATCAATACTATATTCATTATAGAACAAGCAATAGCAGAAGATTCTTCTTGAAGTATTTAGGCTTGAACAGCCAGCTGGCTACTGGAACCAGCTTAAATTGGTGACTCTTGTGGGTTCACATTACGACAGAAAACATAGATATGATTGCCATATAAATTGCTCTGGCTGCTGTATTCTCCAGGGAATGCCTTGCTCAAAATGCCATGGCCTTGTGAAGTTTGTTCAGCTATAGCATGCAGGACTTTTTTATTCTATATGGAATAGCCTCTTCACTGAGATCAGATGAGCTCCTAATGAACAACATTTCTTCTGCCCACTGAAGATCTATTTGCTTGCCTACCCCCAAATACTAACCTAGTGAGTTACTCCCATGATTTTAATGGAGTGTTTTATTGTTTTGCCACTCCTTTATGGCCTTATCATTTGCTCTTGATTCAATTTTATTTCTTTGTTTATTTCAAAATGTTATGCTTTTTAACACCTCTGTTAGGACTATAAACTGTAACATGTAAAACAATATAGAAATGTCAATAATCATCATCATGGGCTTTCTTATTTATCAGAAAACAAACAAATGAAATCAGTATGGTTCCAGGGAGATGTGCATGCAGCCAATGTTTTGCACAGAGCAGGATTTTTTTAATATGGAGAAGGATACATACAATATTTGCAAATAGCAAGGTATTTTTGATATGGGAAAGGAAATATTATGCCTTGTAGGTAGAAAAAAACCCTGGCCTACTTCTAACTGAAGAAAAGTATGGGGATCCTAACCCTAGGGTATAGCTATAAGGAGTAGGGTATAGCTATAGGGAGAGGGGGCAAGAATATTCAATTGCTATATTTCTAGCATTGCAGTAACGTAGCTATTCAGGCAATCATTCACAAATACAGTTTCAACATCATCATAATTTCGTCCCCCCCCCCCCACCACCACCAAATGCAAGGAGACAAGAACATAGAAAATAAAAGAGTTTGAAGTTTGAATTATTTTCAACGCCTCACTATCTAAAATAAAAAAAAATAAAAGAAACATGTGGACTGATGGAAAATTCACTGGAGGGACAGAATTCCCTTTTGGATGACCTTCACTGAGGGCCCTTCTACACATGCAGTGAAACTCAGAAGTAACCAGAATAAAAGTGGTGGATGGCCAAATGATGTTTGGAGAAAGTGCAGGTGGAATTGGGTTAACAGCTGAAAAGCACATGTTCAAAAAGTGCACTTAAAACCCAATTCTGTCCCAAAAATGCATGTCTTCACATGACTGTATACTCCTGTAGTCATGGAAAACATGTGACTTCCTTCTCACCCCCCTGTGTGAACTGCTCCTGTGAATGTGTTTTAAAATTCTGAAAGAGCTGATTGGGCTGTCAAAAATGGAGCCTCTGACACATAGGTGGCTAAAGGGAAGCACAGTTGGAAAGCTATAAGAACTTTCTGCAACCATTCCTTCATATAATATTAAAGAAATAAATAATAAATGTGCTTGCGCATACATTGGGATATCTGCATGTGTGCACATGTGGTCCAGTGCATCTTGGAGAGAATAAAAACAAACATTTCCCCCACTCCATTTTGATCTGCTTCAAAGGAAGGTGTGAGAGCAGTGGGGGACCATTTTCCAGGACTGACAGGCCTGTGTGTGAATTTGCTGTCAGGTCCTGGGATTTTTTGCCTCCATTTTTAAAGCTGCATTTTGACGCTGTCTGGAAAAGCCCTGGCTCCCATTGCAGTAACTATACCATTCCTTCTATTTAACATACTTAGAAACAGCATTTGAAAAACTCACAGACTCTTTGTCCTATGATGCTTAAAGGTGAAATAAAGTAGAAGGACTAATTTTATCTCTAAAAGTAAGCAATCTTATTTTGAGTATTAAGGAAACAGGGTTTGGTAATTCAGCAGGATTTTAGCATTTTGTTCCATTTTAACTGCCATAGTCAACATTCTATGGAAATCTGATATTTACATTTGGTGAGGCAATTGAGAGCTGTAGGTTAGATTAACCTACAGCTCTCCATTGCCTCACCAAATGTAAATACCAGATTTCCATAGAATGTTGCCTATGACAGTTAAAATGGAACAAAATGCTAAAATCCTGCTGAATTACCAAACCTTATTTCCTTAATACTCAAAATACCCTTCCCTAAAGTCCTCTGGAGATCAGGGTTTGAATCTTTGCTTAGACATGGAACCTTGGACAAGCCATGCTCTAAAGAAATATTCCCAAGAAAACAATGTATCCTGGGGATTGGGGGGGGGGGGCTATATGCTAGATATGAATTTAGGGAATGGAACTACAACAAAATCCAAATTCCAGGATTCCATAGGATGGAACAATTGCAGTTAAAAGTGAAATCATAATACTATAATTAAATGGGTTCCCAGTGTTGCTATGTAATAAAGAAAGGAATTTTTCACCATATATGCAACCATTCTGTACAAACACCTTATCAGTTGCATGTAACTAAGCAAAAATGATTGTATGATATGCAAGTCACCAATCACACCATGGATGATTCCATTAAAAAGAGTTTTACCTTGAATGGCAATGGCTCTTCAGTAAGTGGACTAACAGGAAGTGAGTTAGTACTGCTGGCAGGACTCATATCTGTGCTCTAAGAGAGAGAAAAGGAAATAAATTATTGTTTATAAAAGGGGAAAACAGAGTACCTGGAAATACAGGAAACAATTTGTGATGCATTTGAAATAGAATTCAATTATTTCTATCAGTGGTATATTACACCAAATAAGGGGATGATAACAATGATTTCTTACCCAATTAAGGCAGAGGCAAGAATAAATAAAACAACACATAGCACTAGTTAAAGAACATATAAAAGCAAAGTATATTAAAATCACCATTAAATATTTTTAAAACATAATGTAATAATACTGGTAATATATATTGGTTTAATGGAAGAGGTTTATCTTTAATGCTGATTTAAATACATACACCATCTTGAACTGATTAGTTTCACCCAGCAAGTTATTCCAGAATTTGGGGTTGGCTAAAGAATATGTCCTGTACGTAACTATCCTCTAGTTTTGACTGAGTGAAGTAAGTAGATCTTCCAAAATATGTAAGTGCATAGGATAGATTATATGGGATTCTGCAGATAACCAAGACCCCAGACCATGTATAAATTGGATTGCTGTGAGTTTTCCATAATTCATATCCCCAGAAGTCAAGTTGTTGGGGGGGGGGGGGTGATAGAGAAAGAGAGATTGAGAGAGGGGGGAAGGAGCCAAGTGCTCTATTGAATCTGGGTGAATCAATAGACTGACTGAATTCAATAGATCTTTGAATTTAAACATCTCTGTGTTGTTGAAGGCTTTCATGGCCGAAATCACTGGGTTGTTATTAGTTTTTCAGGCTGTATGTCCATGTTCCAGAAGCATTCTCTCCTGACATTTTGCTGACATCAATGGCAGGCATCCTCAGAGGTTGTGAGGTCTCTTGGAAACTAGGTAAGTGGGGTTTATATATCTGTGGAATGTCCAGGGTGGGAGAAAGAACTCTTGTCTGTTTGAGGCAGGTCTGAATGTTGCAATTGGCCACCTTGATTAGCAATGAATAGCCTATTGAATGCTTTTCAATGCTAATCAAGGTGGCCAATATTAAATATTAAATGCAGTACAGAACAACGAGGTATAAGGAATAAGTATACTGTACTAGAATGCAAGGGATAGTCAAAGAGCTGAAAACATATCAAATCAAAGAAACTAACTGAGGTTCCATTTATTCTAACAAATCTGCTGTAAGCTTGACTAAGGTGGGTGCATCCACATTCAGTACATCCCAAATGCAGAGTTTAGAAAAACCCTGTCTGATCCATCACACACTATATATGTTCACTTATCAGAACTAAGTTTTAACTTTGCAGTGACCAACATAGCTTACCACTTCTTTGTGAAAATGTAAGCAATTAATCAAAAGTGATTTTATTTAAGACAGTAACATGGAACTGCTCAAACTATGAAGCTATTTCCCTATAAATGGAAGCATTATAGATACATGATGCCACCTTGAGATATGTGCAGTGCTTGGATTGTTATCCTTCAAAATGAAGATAATTTTGTTTGCAACATTTCCTTTTCAGTAAGGGCATATAGGTGCATGAGAACTGCCAAATACTGACTTCCCTTAAGATTGCTATCAAAAGTTATTGATCCAAGAAGTTATCACTGTCAGACAATATCTTTAGTGGATATCAGAAGATGCAGAAGAAATGCATCTTGATAAGTAAAGGAAGGAAAAGACTATCTGTGTATTTTATAGCCAAAGAGAAAAAAATAATTTCCAACATATTTTCTGGACAATACCTTCCACTGCATTGTTGGCTATTAGGTTCAACACAAATTTTTGGCTTAGAAGCCAGGTTCAGCTAACAAATGGAAAATGACTGAATAAATATTTTAATATTTGGACATTTCATTTTTAAGAATGATAATCCTTAGATTCCTCCACATATTTGCCTTGGATTCTTTTAAATGTTTTATTGAGGTCCTGGGGGCAGAAATCTCAACCCCTCCCCATTTGAATATGTGATGAACAGATATAAATAGAAATGTAATTCTTCACTAAGTTCTTTTGTGCAGAAAATAGTGTTGTCTTCACAGCAGAGTATTTTCTCTGTGGGAAATAATATTTCAATATTTCAATGCAGAAATATTTACTGTGCAGAAGCTGTTTTTAATGTAAATAAAACTGCAAATTTTACAGTTATTTATTTACAAAAAAATCATCAATTTATTTATTCATTCTATACAGAACACAATCTCTATGCAGGAATTAAAATTCTGAGTTGAAATATTATTTTCTAGACAAAACCATTACTTTCTGCACAGAAATTAATGAAAATTTTGATCAGAATAAGTCCTGAACCCACCAATACATGAAATATGTAGTTTAACTTTCTCTTGAGCAACAAAGTTAAAGTACTGTGAACAGATGCCTAACATGCTTGAATTCATTGCAAATATGTTCAAGCAGTAGCAAACAGTTGTCAGGATTCCATAGCTAAATAAGTTAAAATGACCTGTCAAAAATAGATCTGCGCTGAAATCACGAAGGCTCTTTGGAGAGGACATGAAGTAATAAGAATAATTGCAGTCACAACATTTAAGATATGCAAAATTGCTTGTTAAAAGCTTTGGTAAAACTCAAGGAAATTAATTACTTCCTGAAAGCTTAAAAAAAAGTACAACCCCAGCACCACATTTCTTTTTTTCCAGTTAAAGGCAGGTGCTTTATTTTTTGACAGAGGGGAGACAAATACACCAGATATCAAATAAAGCTCCTTTTTCATGTACTAAGACCAAACAGGTGGAGAAATTTCACACTTGCACTTCATCTTGGCCATGCCACACAGAAGACAGTGACTACTACATTAAGCATGGAGTAGTAGATGTATTCACCAACATGCCTCCACTACACTTCTGATTCCGCTAGTTGCATAACATCATCTTGAAGGCACCAGAATGTACCTAAATGGCTAGCTAGTACTGCTGCAGGCAGAAGACTCCCAAACATCATCCAGATGTGGTTTTGAAGACACAAAAAGAAGTAGATCCATTGTCTTTCTAGATCAGCATCATATGATGCTTGTGTGAGGCCACCCTGAGTCCCCCTTGGGGGGGGGGGAGGACAGGGTAGAAATGCATGAAATAAATATAAATAAATAAATTGATAAGGGAACACTAGAGGTGTGAAAAAACAATTGTAAGTATTGCAAATTCAAGGAAACATTGTCCTGTTTTTGCCACCAAATGCCCAAAACTCAAGTGAGAGGTGAAGTTCAGGAGCTGTTGGGTCACTATCCTATCCCTGTGGGTCACAGGTGTTTCACCAAATGGAGTAGCATGGGAATTATGGTCAGCCAATACAAAACATAACAGAGAGGCAGGAATTCCAGTAAGAAGTTCAAAGGTAGCACTTAAAAGTAGAAGGTCACAAAAGAAACAGAAATCCAGAAAGTATGTTAATTAACCAGACAGGTTATTTTTGAACAACAATCTGCCAGGGATTTTAATGATAGCAGGCTGTCTTTATACAGCCAGTGCTTCATTAACTCATGCCTCTTACTTAAGTGCCATTGGGACCTAGACAAACTTTCTTTGACTCTATATTACTTCTCTAAAGGTAGGAACTACAATCTCAGAACATTCCTCAACATGATGGAAGATAGAATCCCTATGCATCTGTTGGGTCTTGCCTCATTCCTGGATACTGCTGCAAATCCCAAATATGTGTCTTAACTCAGAATTACTCAGAGAGTGAGATCAAGGAGAGGATCTGGGTATTCCCTTCCATAAGGGACACTAAAGTGCATAGTAGTGCAAATGGTGATTGCACTAGATTTCATGTACAGGATTCCAGAATGCACACATCTCAACTCAAAATGTTTATGTGGGTATAGAAGAATAATTTTAGGAACAGAGTTCAACACCTTGGGCAGCTTACTAAAACCCAGGGAGGATTCACTTTACACGGATCGGAAAGCATTGAACCACCACTGTGGTTGCCTCCAATTTTCCACAGTGCCACAAATAGAAGGTATTGCTGGTCTTCAAGAACTAGGGACTGTGCAGGTGCAAGCTATTTCCTCCTCAATGTTGGCTGACATCATTTTGATGGATTTAATGGCTTCTCTGTGGGTAGCCCCTAGTGAATGTAATAAGGAAAACAACCAATATATACTTCTTATGTTTTGCAAAACAGAGATAGCATAAAGAAGGACAGCCTGGAGGCAATTCTAATTATGATTGGGATTTGGAGATAATCCTACATACTACAGATGAATATTCTGGATTTCATTTAAACCAGACACCAAGTTTTATCAGGGAAAACGAGATCAAGCAACATTGTGGCATTGTCATTGATTTAAACAAATAAACTAGATTGTGTTTTTGCTTTTAAAATGATCATTATACTTCAAATTCTTTATATAAGCTAATAATCACCTAGTGTTGAACACAGCAGAAATTAGAACTAACACACATCTGTGCATGGAGCTATTGTGTGTAATAATCAACTTATGTTTTCAGTCCCGCTGCTTTAAAAAAAATTGAAAGGAAAAATAAAAGAAGCAGCAGGATGTTAACCATGGTCTAATTTACATTGCTTATGAATTATTATTGATTGCTCAATATATGATTTATCAATTTGGTGACAACGTGATTGATGTGTTTTTAATAAGCATAATCAGTTATTCAGAGACACCACAGTTACTCAGTATTATTTAGAAGGCAATAATGACAAATAGGATTAATATAGAAAGGCATGGCCACCATTAATACCCAGCAACCCCATGTATTTTCTGTCTAAAAATATGATTATGCCTGAATAATCAATGGGGGTATTTATATGTCCTCATGTTATAATCAATTAACATGTAATTAGGCCAGGTTCATGATACAAATGGCATTTATTTACAGGATATATCTAAGCAAATTACTGCATGTAGGAGGATATAACACAATCACTGATAAACAGTCCACCAAATAAATTTGTTTGCTATGTCAAAATTTTAAAAGCCTCTTTTAAAAATAACTTCTGCAAATGACAAGTTCTATTGAGTGATAGGTCCATATAGGACCAGTAAAAATACAGAAG